CTAACCCTAACCCTCACCCCGCCCCCCACACACCCCTGCAACCCAACCCCAATAACACTGCGACTGTCATATCATGAGAAGTTGTTGTGCGCCCAATAAAAATTAAAAGTTGCCTTGGATGTCATTAGCAATAAAACTGTCATTGCGTAGTGTTTATTATTATTTATAATGGTGGTTTTTTTAATAGTCTTAAAGAGACAGTGTCCCTTCCTATTACACCTTTATCTAAACCCCCTTTCTCTACGTGTGTGTGTGTGTGTGTGTGTGTGTGTGTGTGTGTGTCTGCACTGCAGATGGCTTCACCGGTGTCTTCACGGTTAAACTGGCAAAAGAGCCGTGAGACAAAGAGGTACATTCCAAAAGAGACACTGCGACAGAAACAAATGGGGAAAAGAAATCCTGCAATGTTGTTTTCTTTAATTTTTTTTTTTTTTTTTTTTAACACGTTCCCCATAACTTGCTGTTGTCATCCCTGTAGCGTTTCTTCATCCATTCACAGTATCAAAGTGCAAACTTTAAGGAGGATCGGGAGGGGGAGTGAGGGATTCGGGGGCAAAAAGTGGCCTACCTTCAACTGGATTCCCAAAAGAATAATATTAAAAAATGCTCCGGAGCTCTTTCCCGAGTCAGTTAGTCAGTAAGGGGGCAAGTCTTCTTTGGACATGACAACTCCGAGAGGAAAAGAGGAAGGTTCCATAAAATGGATGCATGGATGAATGGATGGGAAGTGAGGTCACCCATTCAGCCCCAAATAATCCCAACTGAAGGCAGGAATCTTGTCAGAAGAGGAAAAGGACGGAGGCTGACAAGTGCGTCAGGAGCTCTTAAGTAGAATATTTCAATGGGTGAAAAAGCAAGGAGATTGGGGGAACCGGGGGTGGGGTGGGGATGGGGCTAAGGTTCCCAAGAGTCACCCCCCTGTCCTCCTCCTGATGACTTTCTGAGGCAAAGGGTGCCCGGTGTCTAATCCTCGGCCATCCCAGACGCGCTGCTCCTCGTGCGGCCACGCTGCTGCGCAGGGAGAGAAGGCGGCAAATGAATGCACGCAGAAAAATGGTCACATCCAATAAGGGGGAGGATGGAGAGAGAGAGAGAGGGAGAGGGAAGAGGGAGAGGGGGGAGCTGGGGGGCGGCATTCCTCCTCAGTAGGCTCTATGGCTGCGGTGTGACCAGTCTGCCCATGGTCCTAGTGCCCCTCATTTACCCACGCCGTGCTATCCCACCGCCGCTGCATCATTCTTCATCATCAGTCATTCATGGACTTGATTTCCCTCATGGAGTAATCAACACATCCATATACATCAGCTCGAGTACTGTTTTCCTTTCTATCCATCTATCAGCCATCATTCTCTTCATCTGCATTTGTTCTCCTCTCGTTCACTTATCTGTCCGTCCGTCCGTCTCTCAATCCAGTCATCTTTTAACTGTTATTTGTCCCTCTCTGTTCATCATTCTCTCAGTCGATCTGTTTTGATCCATCGTGACCATCTATTAATTGGTCAAGCTATCCATTTATTCTCCATTGCCTTACATTCAACTTTCTCTCGAGAGTCTCCGTCTGATAATCCACGAGTCTACTCGTCTAATACTTCTTTCAGTCTGTCCGTTTACATGGAGGCTCAGCCATTTACTTGTGACGTGATCTATTCCGATCTGGCAGTAATCGGAACGGCTATTTGATAGCCACGTGACACACGACATCAACGTCCATGCTACATTCACTCATACATGACGGAAACGCTCCCTTGTCAACAATTCCCTTCAACCGTTTTCAAAGTCGAGTGCTAGTTTCAGTGCCATCCTGCTGATTGACTCACTATGGAGCAAACAAACATAACCTCCTGCGATCCACATGCAGCGCCGTCTCCGAGCAGCGGCGCGCACTGAGTCCAGATGGCCCGCGGAGGAGGTGAAGATGGACGCCGCGATGGCTCTTTGTAGACGCGCGTGTGCGTCGTCATTCGTCGTGACTGGCGACTCGAACGCGCACAGCTGCCACAGGAAGACCCCCCTCTGTTCACTGACATTAAATCTATAATTATAGATTTTTTTTTTAAATTATTATTGTGAAGATGTGCGGGTGTTTTATCGTAATGAAGTTTCACGATTAAATATTTGTCTAACAGTTAGGAATATTCAAAACATGGCATTCGGGGCTGTTAGACTGAATGGTTAATGACTTAGCAGCGTATTTTATTGTTTGTCAATGAAAAAATCCGGCACGCGCCGCGGTCTAAATATGCATGGAGGCGGGTTAGACTGGGTGTTGGTAAACTTGCAGTGGCATCCAAGACAGCATATTTAAAAAAGGCTGTTTTCACCGTGGTGGGCGTGAACACAAGTAACTCGATCCGCCACCAGTCAAAGTGGCTCTTCTCATTCCATTTAAATGCAGTCACCGATGAAGACATTTCTGTGCTGAAAAGGACGCGGCAAGCCGTGCGTGACCGGTGGCAGATGACGTAGGCGGGTAACCTCATTTTATGAGCTGGTGATAACTGCTGGCCATAAATAATTCTGCAGACCTCATATATCTCCCCTCACCACTGACAATTTTGACAATAATTCAGGTTTGATTTCTTCAATGACTCATATTCATGAATGAAACACAATGGCATCCTCGCACATGTCCATGGAACTCAGAATCCGTCTCCCTGTGCCTCAATCAAATTCAGCAAAATTGTGTTCGACCAGCTGTAACGATACGGATTTATCCGGGTAGGGGTGGATCCCACAAACAGACAAATATCCTGGACCCGAAAAAGTTTATTTACAAACAAAATAACCAAGAGAACAACGAGAAGAACAAAAAGCCCTTGCAAAAGGCAAAGAGAAGGAAATAGCTTGTCACAAAAAGATAAGAGGACCAAAATATGTATAATACAAACAGAGAATATTCTTACAAAACCGAGAATACTACTTACGCAAGAGAACTACGGCGCTAAAACATGGAACGGATAGAAAACTACAACTTGAACAAGGGCGTGAGCAAGGCGAATTATCCAACAGTCAGTTGTTGGCTTGGAAGTCCTTAAATACTCCGTTAGTCATGATGGGTAAATAGGCGCGCAGCTGGACAGATCGGAACTCCTCTGCCATCTGCTGGCAACTAACAGAAACTGAAACATAACACCAGCAGTCTACATGTGGCTCCTGGCTTTGATGTGGTCCGAGCAGGCATATAGTTTGGACCAAGAGTGCCCAAGTGCAGTCCATAGGAGTCCCCTATCCAGCCTGTTTTAAACGTCTTGCCTTTCCAACACACGGGATTCAAATGATTAGTTCACAGTATCAAATTAGCTGATACAGAAAGCTGTTGAAGGACTCTGAAGTCGCCGTTTTACTGTCACCTGAAGACTTGGGGCCGGGTTTGGGAGTTTAGATAGAGGGACATTGACACGGCAGTGACAAGCTAATTTCTACCTCAACACGGTTCCTACCACTAATTGGGCTTGCACATTAAGGACTACAGTCCTGTTTTTGTTGTGAGAAAGTTGCAGCTGGCTCCAAGTGTGGCCTGAATGGGGGGCACCAATGGGGAAATCATAACGCCAGTATTTTGAGAGTAATAGCTCACAGCAACATATCGAGGGAAAAAGAAAAAAGAACTATAAGTCGGTAATTTTTGGAACGGTGAACTTAGTTGAAAATGTTAAATTATGAAGTGAACCAGTTCATTTTAAATTTTGTGACCTGACTTTTGAACTAGTTTGCGTGGAAAATGAACTTTCCTAACATTGGCTGAAACGGTGAGGGATCGCGACTGAATGCTTCTTTCTTCTTACCTAGGATGTTATATTTGTCTGAATACAGAAAAATCTGATTATGAATACATGTACTGCTATACACGGGGTGATAATGTTTCTAATGACTGCTTGCCAAAATACATTTTTGTTTTATCAAAATAATAATAATCTGAGGGCAGTATTAGGCCTCCCAGTAAACATTGTGCAGCTCGCACACACACACACAACACTCTGTGTGTGTGTGTTGTATTGTATGCGTGCGTGCGGATGCGGAGCGATGTTCTTGTATAAGCACCGTGCAGCCGTGCAGTGCTCAGGAAGGACGTCAGTGCTTGCCTGCCTCCACACTTGTTTCCTTTCACGGTGCGAGTAGGATCCTGAAAGTTGCATGTCATGCACAAAATATAACCGTGACATAAATCCACCTCCACCTCACTGGCCTGCAGAAAAGAAAGGTAAAAAAAAAAACTTCCTGGCTACTCACAGGACGAACTCGACTGCCTCCCTCCCTTCATCGACTCCCACGAGCCACTACAAAAGATGACTTGATGATATTTCACACGGCCCATTGTGAAAACTAAAAATCTTGAATTCGTATCGTGTCCCACTTTTCCAAGCATGGACCGAAATAAACTTTTGTTTTAGGATGGCATCAGGTTTAAAGAAAAAAAATAAATAACTCATGCGGAAGATGGAAGCACAAAAATCAAAACTAAAAAGGACTCAAACAAGCAGACAAACTGATCCCGACAAGAAAGTCTGCTGCTGTCTTTTTCAAAGGCGCTTTGATCTAAGTTTATCTGAGCTTATTATGACACCACATACAGTGCAATTATTTTTGGTCAAGCGCGTTGGCAGCATCTAAATCTGCCGTTTAGCTTTTTAATTGCGAGACACCCCGAGCTGTATTCGGTTTTTAGTTTGAGAAATAAAAAGGTTGAGTTTAAAGAATATACCTGGTGGCGCACTGACGAGGCGCATGTATAGAACGGAACAATTTGTACATTCGGCAATTTGAGTCAGCTTCTAATTCAAAATGAACTGGATTTTGGTGCTTTTAGAGAAGTTATGCTAGGACGGAACACATATTGTTGTTATATTTCAATGCATAAAAGGACCTATGGGGACCGGGGGGATACTGCACTTCCATAAAGATTGAGACTATGGAACAAAAATTGCAAATGGCAGACCACGGAAACTTTTTTTTTTTTTTATAACTGTAGAGAACACAATCTATAACTCTGATATACGTGTACAACTAATTTAACTGCACTGTATACTAGAAATAAAATAAACTCCTCAACCTTGAATCTAAGACACCCAACAAAAGACCAAAAGCAAGCATTCTATACATACTGCCCTTTGTATTCATAATTTTGTTTTTTTTAATGTACTGCTCCGATGAGTCACACTCCGTTCCATTTATGGCTCCGCGGTTCTCGTCACACCTTTTTTTTTTTTTCAAAATACGATCTGAAGGAAATTTTTTAAAAATAAGAAATCAAAAGGGAAACCGAAATACCTCAGCGGGGAGTCTGGCTCGAGAAAAATATAATTGTTTTTCTTTTTTTTTTTTTCCCCCCCAACATACACACAATGCTACGTGTAAAAGAAAAAAAAAAGAATAAGTTGTTAGAACATATTTATTCCCCAGTGAGGGATGCTCTAGTGAGTTTAAAAACAACTATGAAAATAATAAAAACAAGTAAGGAGGCGAGGGGGTGGGGGGTGGGGGGGGTTCAATTTGCATATGCACCAGCAGTTTTTTCGGGGCGTGGATTTCAGTCTACATGCATTCGATCTATTTTGTCGATTCCGCTGCTCCTGGATATAGCGATCATCTCCTCTGACACCAGCAACAAAGGTCTCCTTATCCACACATTTTTTTTTTTTTTTTGGTGCCAGCCAAGCGTGCATTTAAGCCAGACTTGAGACGCAAGTTATTTGAGTCAGTGGGTAGCACGGAAAGGGGAACAGAGAGCCTCTCAGCAATGTGAGATTTTGTACAAATTGAGTTATTACAAGCGTGAAACTGCTAGGTCTTCGCCGTCCGCAGCTCTTGTGGCACCGGAGAGCGTTAATTATTAAAAGATTGCAACATCAGGTAGGAAAATGCATCTGCTTTCGAGCCCGTGGACTAAAATCAGCTATATTTGTCAACGACTTTCAGCAGCCGGCTTAAAAATACAGTGACAAGCAAGCAAAACATTCAGAACGTGCCGTCTTTTTTTTTTTCCCTCCACGGAAGCATGCCAAGCATCGCTAAATATTTCAGCAGGGATCTAGATTTTCTCTCTCTCTCTT